CATGGCTGGCTGGGGAATTCTGGGAGTTAAAGTCCACACATCTCCAAGTTGCCAAGGTTAAGAAATACTGGATTAGAGAGTGCTGTTGTAAAGAATTCATGCAGGAAAATTCTCTCATCTTGAAAGTTGCCTCCAGATTCTCCACATTGACCCACACATGGCATTTATTTGGGGTCATTACTTATTAATCTTTAGTTGCAAATATCAGATCCTCAGCTGTTGTCTGTATATCTTTTTTACATATGTAGTTTTCTAAGAGAATATTTAGATATCAAAAGATGAAAAACTGGCTCTACTCACTGGATTTTTTTAAAATATGGAAACGGGTTTTTTCCACATTCATAGTAGCCTAATGAAAAGTATCATCTCTGTATCTCTCATTTTCTAGGAGTGGGACTCACAACTCCTCTCAAACAAAATTAGAAGACATATTTTCCTACAGAAACATAACAGAGGCTGTTTAAAGAAATCCCATACCTGTATAAGCAATTGCAAGACGCAGTTCTTGGGTCTCAGTAGTCACTCTTTGTAGGTAGAAAATCTAACTTTGTAAGCTTCTCTGCAGGTGTGCAGAACTTTCTACAGCTAATGCTCCTTCTATGGATAAGGGCAAACAGAAGGCTTGTCAAGAAAGGCTGTGAGATCTGCTTTAGCCAATGCCCTCCCATTTCCCCAGGGTTTTGTTTCTGTCCAAGACAGTATTTTAAGTTTCTGAAACACTAGCTGAAAATAGCCAGCTGACATGGGTCCAGTAGGACATAGTAAAAGGGTGCTTTTACATTCTTTCTCTCCCATTGCTTAGGTTTGTCTTGAAACATAATTATGCTCACCTTGAAAACTGAAAGGAGATCTAGTATTTTCCTGAAACACTGCATTTTGCACAGAAGTCCTAACCCTCCATTTCTCTTCTAAAAGTTAAACGTTTGGGAAATACTGCCAATAATAAAAACAAGACTAAATGCTCTGCAAAACATGAGTTTGTCCTTATGATGAGATTCTGAATTGCATGGGTTTCTGCAAATGTAATTTAAATGAGCTGTTATCCAGCTTGTATTCATGCTATGTGTTCCACTTACCTGTGTTATATGATCAGTTGGAACAGTAATTTAATATCTTAAACTTGTATATGGGTGGTGGGGTTTATAAGTTGCCTTTTTCATTTGATAAGAAACACCTTTTTGAAGCCTCTGAAAGTTTGAGAACAAAAAACTGGTAATGCCAGAGATATTGCTGGGCTATGTGCTGGGAGGTGAAGTCCACACATCTCCAAGTTGCCAAGATACTTATCCAAACATGTGTGAGCATACTTCCTAAGTTATCCAGGGTTGATTTTTTAAGAACTCTCTCCAGTCTCCTCAGAGGGTTAAAACGTTTTTTGAACTCAGAAAAGTGTACCAATTTGATTTAAAAGCTTTTCAGAGGAAATAAGGTGAGTTGGAAGGTTGATGTTTGCTGGCGCCATTGCCTGTTGAAAAGCTCATTAGCTGCTCAGATGTTTTGTCAGCTCTAGAGGTATAAGATAATTATTAATGTCCTTTCTAGGGAAGTAGCTAAAGTTTTCATTCTCTCCTTTTATGCAAACCACTACACAGTCATCAAAAACCTTTGTGAACAAGTCAGGTATCAGTAATGTGTGCCACAGAACCACCTGAAGGCTGTGCTTCTCTTGGATCCCAAAATTTAATTTATTATTAATTCAGATACTTAGGACGAACAACTGCTGTAGCTACAACGTGAATAATTTCATATAAGGATATACTTGAAATGTCCTGCAGCTCTGTGTCAATTGTTTGGTTTTGTTTTAAAAGGACATTAATCTCTCTTTTACTGAACATCTGCACTGCAAGTAGAGTGAGCTTTCAGCATGTTTAAAGTAAATCTGAAAGCAATTGATCCCCTTCCAAACTTTGTCAAACACAATGTACTCATTATAGAGGAATGTCATCAATCTTCCTTCCATTGCAAGAAGCATATTTTCCAATAATACTGTGCTAAAAATCTGTCTTCCAAATGCCCAGAACCTTTCTTCCTTGTATAACAGGCTTTTGCCACATTCATAGAGTGCTTTCAAATTTCTTTTGGTGGAAAAAGCTGTGGATGTTTTTATTTCATTACATTACATATCTTTCCTGCCTACCCATCTAAATTTGGAAAAATCCTCCTTCTTCCCCATGAAGGAGTTACCTTCCTTTGACATTTAAGGGAAGGTGAGAAGCCAGAAAGACTGCAGCCTGCAAATTACAAAAAGTCAAAAGACAAAAGACAGGACAGTCCTTCTCATGTATCCTTCCATGATCCTGTAATTAATAAAAAATAAATCACCCATAACCCATCCATAAGAATTTCACTGAACGTTTCTTATTCCTTTGGGGGGGAAAATAAAAAGCAATTTAGTTTTCCCCCAACTGAATAAGGATGATGAGAAAACATGCAACAGAAAAATTCAGTACAACCCTTTTGAAACATTTTGAAAAGGCTAATCAGCCGTTTGGGCAAAACTTTGCCTCATGGTTCAAAACAGCTGTTTTTCCTGGCACACAATCTTCCACAGTTACATAGAGATTTGGCATTATGCATTCTGGGTGATACATGGAGACAAATGTAGAAAGGCTGTTATTGCTTTACAAGAGATGCCATGAGAGTGATGCACTCTAAATTGGAGACTATAAGCTATTGTACCCAACACAGTCTTCACTGGCAAGGATGTGCTACTGGTTATGTATTGTAGGTAAGAATGTGCAAAACATGCGCAGATCATTCCATGCAAAGAACAGATGAGTTAGGGTGATCCATGTCCAAACTGAAATGCATGTTTTGATGGACCTAAACAAGGCTGCTTTAGATACAGACTGAAATGCAGTGGTTCCAGGCTGCATGATAAACAGCAGAGCTGAAGATCACCAACATATTGATGACATTGCACCATAAAACTCCAAATGACATTCCCCAGTGGTTTCATGTACATATTGAACAGCATGAGGGACAAGATGGAATTCTGGAGGACCACTATTCAACAACATAGATCATAGATTCACATTGGTCCTCCAGCACTATCTTCTACACATGCCATAATAGGAAAGACTGAAATCACATAAAACTGGTGATCCAGAAAGATACCACAGTCAATGGTTGGAAAGTTGCTAGGAAGTGTGGAACAGCTAACAAGTCCATATTCTCCCCATCCAGTACCTGGCATAGGTTGTTCACCAAGGTAACAAAAGCAGTTTTGAAACTGTATGCTTAGTGGAAACATTACTGAAATAGACCCAGAACAATCACTGTAATTCACACACAGCTAGAACTGTAAAGCTACCACCTTGATCTCTTTTCCCAGAAATAGAAATATGAAACTGGTGTGTAATTGTACAGGTTCCCTGGGTTAAAGGAGAGTTTCTTCAACAAGGGTTCTATTTGTTCCTCCCTTAGACAGAGAAGGACATATCCCTCCTACAAGGAGGAATTACCTTCCTTAACTACGCTTAAATCTTGATCAATTTAATCAAATGGGCAAGGATTGAATTAGCAGATTGTGGTCCCCATCTCTCTACGCAGCCTGTCCAGATCCTCAGTATAAGCAGAAAGAATCCAAAGTAACAGTATGACCTGACCTGACTCTGGGATCCAATTCAACTTTGCCCACAGAGAACAATGCAAATTGTTCACAGTGTTCCACCCACTATTTTGTCTTTCTCTTTCCACACCTTGGCAAAATATAAAGCACAGAATGGAAGAGGAACTTGTTCAATGCAAATAAAAGAGGCAGAGAAGTCAATCCTCTGGGCTGTCTTTACTGCTTTGAAGAAAGAGTTCAAATAGGCTTTCAGGTGGACTTTACTTTGTACACCATCATGCATCCCAAGAGTTCTTCCACTTGCACTCCAGCTGATGTCCCATTCTCTTCATTACTCTCAGCTTCCTAGGAAACCAAGGCTGATTTGGCTCCAGGAGAGAGAAAACAATAGTTGTCAACTGCCCAGACTGTTAATAGTTTCTTGGATGCAGGAAATCTTCCAAAAACTATTGCTCAGAAAATCTTTAATTATGTTATCTGAAGCCTTAAATGGTTGGAGACAAAAGAAAACTATTCGGTACTGAGGGGTCTAGTGATGACTTCTTGAGGAAAGGATGGACCACTGCCTCCTTTAAAACAGATACGACCATCCCCTCCTGCAAATAAGCATTTACCACTGCTTGGACCCAGCTACGTATTACCTCATGGGAGGCCTTGACGAACCAGGAAGGACATGGATCTAAAACACAGGTGGTAGAACTTAATGCCCTAAGGACTCTGTCCACTTCCTCAGGACTAAAGGTTTAAACTCATTCCAGATAAACAGACAAGACTGAACCTCAGTCACTTCCATAGGACCAGCTTAGGCAGAATCCAGCTCCAAGCAAATAAGAGCAACTTTATCCAAAAGAGGCTTAGACAGTCCTGTAAATGTTCTCCTG